AAGAGTTTCTGGAAGTGTACACATTGTTGAAGTGAAAAAATATTCATGTAATGACACAATTGTTTAAAATGCTGTGGAATTTTTTTGCAAATAAAAATATACTAGCAATTTTCTATTAATGGTTCATTCAAGTGGGCAAAATATAATGTACAGAAAGATTGCCTGTATACACGAAAAATAAGCAACCGACAGCCTGTATAAAAGGGGGTCTGTGATTGGCTGTTACTTACGCGAGATTTGAACGGGACTTACATAGGCGTCGGATCAGATGTAGGTAGGGCGGAATTAAAAAAAATCACAAAATCAAAATCAAAGTAAAATAATAAAATAAAAGGGCATTAATAACAAATATAATAAAAAATAAAATTAAAATAAGTTTATAGCCAAAATAATTAAAGCCCGTACACTACATCAGATTTTAATCAGATTGGTGCCAGCATAGCCCGAACGATGTTTACGTTGCGTTGGCCATAGAACTAAAGTCCATTGCATTAGTGTATAGCCTGTTATACGATTTTATTATCTTGTAGTAGTTTGGTCTCCCATGATGCCTCGATGTTTGCTTTCCAGGGCCTTGAAGTACTGCCGACATACGCTTCTCACGAGTGAAGTAAATCGTCTAGACTGGCCCAGCCATAGCATTTTCTAAAAAAATCAAATGTTGGTTCGCTGCGAAATTACGCGAGATATAATACAATGTTCTTAAAAGGGATTATAATATTAAACAATATGACTATGTCAGTCTAGAAGTCGATGAGCAGAGCGAATTTCGCATAAACAATGTATTTTTACTCGCGTTGTACATGTCGCATGGAACCCGCATCGAACATGACTTAGTGTGTCGATCCTGGTGCTGGGAAGGTTAATGCATAGACCTTACGGTTTTCTAAGGTCTACGGTTAATGTGATGTTAATGTGACGTGTATTGCATTGTATGGACTAGCAACAAATGCAATAAGTTATTTACCGTAATGCATGTTATTCATATTCTCCTCTGATATTAATGACTCGGATGTTGTGTTGATATTGAATTATTCTCTGGTTTTAGCAGCGTGAATAACATCATTGTGAGAACTGTTACGTTGAAACTATGCTCGTCTTCTTTTTCGAAAAGAAAATTTGAAAATGACTCTAAAAGTATCAAAATGCGAAATAATGTTTGTTTGTTTTCGCGATCATTCCCCATTTAGTTTGTATTTTAGCCATTTTTATTCGCATTTTTTGAACTTACAGAGAACAAGAAACCAAGTTGAAACCGAATATTGCATTGTTGCAAACATAGTTGTCATGACAACTAATTAGTGGGTTCTCAAAATGAGAGCGCTTCGGCTACAATTGCTGTAACTATTACTTACATTTGCCTGTTACTGAAATTAATTTTTACGCCATATATTTCCATTGTGAAATAACTATTCATTTGATGAAATCGCTCACAGCGTCATGAACCAACCAATGACCATCCACGTATACATATCGCTTCGCTAAATTTCAGGTTCACCCTTAAAATTATTTTCTGGCGTAGTTTCTTTTTAGTGTGTAAAATTAGTAATTCAGTCATCATTTACTTTGTGACGCAAAAGTGACGTAAATAGGTGAAATGGCGGATGATTACAGATCAAAACGTTATCGGTGATATGAATGGCATTCCCTTCACCCGTTGACGTCATACAACCCCTCTGTCGCTAGAGGGCGTTACGTATAGAGACGATGTACTACTAGTATATAGCACGCGGCTGGGTTTGTTAAAAAGTTCTCCCACCAAACTGCATCTGTTTCTGATTTATCATTGAAATAAATACAACTGGATATCATCATTAGATCTGCTGGTTTGTTCTCATCCCGTGTTTGTTCAATGACAGTGACCATTGTTGTCGCGTTTCTCAAGAACACGTCTGAAAAACATATAACTATCAGGGGGAAAATCTTCTCCTCGGGGTTCTCCACACGTGTAAGGGGAGAATCTCGTCTTGTCTCTCTATCTTGTCTGCTTGAGGTGCGGGATCAGGAAAGTCATTTAAGCTTTACAGTCAAATAGACACACACAACGAAATACGTATCAACTCTCGTCTTAGTCGGTCAGTCGAGCACTCTATAAGACACAGCGCCCTGGGGAAAAATCCCCAAGACTATCGCAAGGCTGACCCAAGACTCTCCTAGACTGCGTCTCTCGTGATGTTTTCACCAAGTCCAACTAAAACTCTTTATTCACTTTCAAAACCTTAACCAATTACAAAGCAGTTTAAAGACTCTAGGGCGTAACCTTCAATCATACAGCCAATCACACGTCATATCTTTTGATTAATCGTTCACTATATTAGTAACTGCGAATACCAACTGTCAGAAATAGTAGTCCGGATAGCGACGGTTATATCGTAATTAGTTCCAAATCACTGAGTCAAGATCCGTCCAGGACCTCGCATGAGTCTAAACGATGACAGATATAACACATCCATTCACTAGTAATCAGCTAAATAAGTCGATCAACAGATACGTGAAAACAAATTGATGACATGACACTCAGGCTGACGGTCATCGCGATTTAATTTGATAGGGTGCATTCAAAGAAATTTGCACTACAGTCGAATGCATACTTTCATGGTATCTCAAGTGAGTTGGGCACGCCCAACGGTTGATCTATTTAATAATGCTACCTGTGTCGTTTTAACGGTTGGCTCTTTCATCGTGTTGACCAACCTGACAACCAAAGTTTGAATAATAATCAATTATTTCCTCATCGTATTGTAATTGCAAGAGTGTCACGTGACACAATCACTTGTATCTAAGCTATATAGAAGTATTATATTGAGTGGGTAAAAATACCCAGAATTTATCTATTTTTGTAATAAATTGTACTTCTGGTCTGTGTAGTTATTACATTTTGGGTCACCAGCCTATTTTTCGGCAAAATGTTGGTTGTATTAGTATTAGGTTGTAGTGTCTCCCTCCACTGGATTGCATTACCATGATTTATATTAATGTATGTGTGGCGCTACACTATTTAATCCGACAAGAGAAAAGAATACCCAGATATTCAACCACCTCTCCATTTTATCCTTATTTACGCCAATTTACCATTTTTTTTTATTTTTTATAAGACTGCATTTAGCAGTCGCTGTTAACGTATAGAGTAGAATAGAATAGAATAGAATAGAATAGAATAGAATAGAATAGAATAGAATAGAATAGAATAGAATAGAATAGAATAGAATAGAATTCTTTATTAATATATACCGTAAAATAATGAAATTAATTGGGGGGGGCTAACAATTTAATAAAGTTTTTACATAGTTGAGCGGACATAACACTATCCGTGAATAGTAAGACAATTTACAATATGTAAGAATATGGCATATGTTGTTTATTTATACCGGTAATATATTCCTTATGTTGTAACACTGTTCAATGTTCTTTATGGTTTCTTTGATTAGTGAAGTGTCCTTATTACTCATTATTTGTATGAATTTAGTATAGTTTGTCATATCTTGGAATCCATATATACAGGATTTGGCTGTTGAATATAGAATGTCTCTGTTGTTTGCATATAAAATGCATTCTGTTTCAATTTTGGCACAATATAATATATGAAAATATAACATCGTCTGCAAGTCTGCATCGTCTCAATTAAGGTGCAGGCTGACCTGTGCTTTATAACATTTGTGGCAATTCATTAAAATTGAGAACTGAAAACAAAAAACAAACTCAACATATATTTTTGTTTTCAGTTCCCTGACTTATGCCAATCGGCATTCAAAATATTCAATAAAAATATCAGTATTTTATTTTTACATATTTGTATATATTATCAAGCATCTTGGGTATTTTACCCTCAACTCTTCCTTTTAAAAGCACGTGCCACAGTTTTTGATGTTCGATTTTATCAAACGCTTTAGCAAATCAATGAAGGCGCAATAAAATTTACCTTTTTCTTTGTCAAGCATTTTTGAATTATGTACTATCCTCTGTGGAGTGTTCCCTCTGGAAACCCGGCTGCACTTTACCCAGTACCTCGCCAAATGAAGAAACCGATCATTCACTGTAACAGTTTACTAAAAATGTTTAAGATCAAGTGGTCAGACAAGATCAGCAACCTGGAGATGTGGGAAAGAGCAGGACAAGAACCGGTGGAAAGACAGATCCTCAAGAGAAAATGGTCCTAGATAGGACACACTCTCAGAAAGCCACAAACGAGCATCACGCAGCAGGCCCTGACCTGGAACCCTCAAGGCAAGCGAAAGAGAGGAAGGCCTAAGAACAGCTGGAGAAGGGACGCTGAGGCGGAGATGAGGAGCATTAGTAACAGCTGGCACGACCTGAGAAGGAAGGCAGTGGAGAATGATCATCGGTAGCCTATGCTCCGACTGGGGCAAGGGGCCCAAATTAAAAAATATAATAAAAATAATCAGAAGATTAATTCATCTATAATTGCATGGTGTGTTAGAACAACCTTTTCTTTTATAAATTGGTACAACTCCTTTGACCAAAGAAAATTACACTTTCAAACATCCTTTTACTTGATAATAATTAGATGATATGAAAAAATCACCCAAGATACCGTCGGGACCGTGTGCTTTGCCACATTTGACCACTCTCCATCCCAGAGTTCTTAGCGCAGACAGGCTATCACTTCTGCCACACATGACTTTTCTCGCTATGATTTGCCACATATCAATACGCAGGTGTTAGGTTATTCAAACGGCAGCCCTTACCCAGTTGGCGAGGAAACTATTAAATCTTTCTCTTCCCATACACTTTCCATAACTTCCATCTGCTATGGTTTATTCTACGTCAGAATTGTATTCATTAAGAATACGTTTTAAAGTTCCCGCGAACTCCGCTATATTTAAATATAGTTCGGATTTGACCCTACCAATGCCCCTTGATTTGCATAAATACACAATCAAGATGTGGCAGAGGTGATTTGAAGAAGCGCCATCTTGCGTGGAGATTGACATTTGACATTACGTACTCTCTCCACGATATCTTCATCTGTGATTGGTCCGTTCAAGAGGTCAAAGCTGAAACCACAATTTGTTTCTATAAACACCAAATCATGAGTATTGCGGAAATACCTCAATAGACTATATTTTATGGCCTTGAGTATTAAAACTGCATTCATTGTCATACCAGGGTAGATGACGATGTTAATATGATGCCGATAGGATCATTTTCAAATAACTTAATTCCATTATTTCTTTCCAAGTAATTATAAAATAAACGTGTTCCGTGGTGACGTACGTACCACTAAACAAATTACCCTTGTCAACGTTAAAAGCACTGTTCTCAAAAATAACAATATACAATCTTGGAGAATGACACTTTATGCGAATAACTATAAAAACACGTGTTACAAACTAGAGTACAGACATCCACTGCAAAACTGCAAAATGAAGGTTGTTTCTTACGCCATGTACTGGACACTTTAAACCAAGGGAAAGATTTGTTTGCAAATGGGTATTATTACTCTCTCGCCAAATTCCTAATAGAACTGAGACGTTATATTCCAAATCTAATCAGTAAAATTGACGCTTAAAAGTTTATATTTCAAACCTTGCACATTCCATGAAAGTCTGTTTATGGTATCTTGTCCTAGAGACGGATAGTTGTGTTGACTGGTGAGATAAAACCTCAGACTATGATAGGATATAAAGGAACTGATCGTGGTGGTTCGACACATGGGTGGGTTGAGTGGGGATAAGATAAAATTAGATATGATATGATCTGAAGAGAGTAGTCGGAACATGGGTGGTTGGAGTGGGATAAGATAAAATACAACTTAGTACGGTAAGATATTTTATTTGAAAAAAGAAAAAAAAATAATACAAAAATACACATACAAAAACATGTACATGTAATACAAAAATAACACAATAACAAAAAAAAATAATTAAAATATTAACAACAAATGCAGTCTGGCAAATTTGTTTACATCAACCTGACGAAATACATCACATTTCGTTCATATACTTTGAGTAGTAGAGTAATTCCACGGTCATCGTACTGCGTTGTGTTTGATATGAATCTCATGCAACACACACAACGCGTGTAAAATACATTGTTTACGAAAAATTCACACTGCACGACGTCTGTGGCGCTTTAGCCTATCTTAGTTACATCGTGAAATGCAACGTGTTTCACTTCCAACAACTGCATTGAAATTATGAGTAGTACATTTTAGTTGCCATGGCGACTGTTATGACGTCCACATTCAAGTTCGTGACCACATATGATAAATCGTTTTTCCTTGCCATGACTTTATTATGATGTTTATCCACCAAAAATAGCAATATGGTCTGCACGTGCTACTAAACAGAACGACACAAATGCAAATGCTTTTACAACGTGGAAATACTAGTACGGTTCGTCACGGGGGAGAACTAGCCCATGAGGGCGCTTGAAAAAAAATAAAAAATAATATACTGTGTTTCTTGTATTTTATTCTAGCTGCATTGAAACCAAACACAACAAATAAACTGCACTCTTGGAGAAGTAAATATATTCAATGGAAGTAGTTTGAGTTTTATAAATGGACGGAATCTTTGTAAGATGGCAACCGTTGTCATGGTTACATAGTGGCAGATAAGAGATTGGATTCGCGTCGTATTCTTCTCGCGTTCAGGGTGCTATGACCAAAGGTGGTACCATACCGGAACTTCTGACCTACAATCAAGAAAGTAATATTCAACGTTCAACAAAAGTGCATGCATTGTTCACGAAATGGCGTCCCTAAGCAGAGTTTAATGGGATTAATTCTTCACGAAGTCGTTCGTTTCGGACAAATAGGTAAACTAAAAAGTAAACAATAGGTAGAATGGCGGCAGACGTATTCATAACAACTGTGGGTTGATATATTTTGTAAGAGATTTGTAAATGTCTTTGGGATTCGTAAACCGCTCAAAGGGTGTATCATAATGATGTTAGGGTTAAAAAGCTATTTGTCGTCTGCGCGGCGCTTTGTCCGTCCTTGTTCTGTTCCAAGCTCAGGGAAGTTCCAAAATCGTTCATCTGTGTTTTATTTTTAATAAATCCACCAAATCGAAACTAAACTTATTTAGTTTTCACAATACCCAATTTAGTTAATACCCAGGGATCAAGGATGGTCTCTCTGTTACAGTGATAGCCGAGAATGATGGATCCATGAAAACTTTAATTTTTATTTTTTTGTCAGCTTGAAGTTGAAACTGTCCTGTTCATTACAAGTTGAACTGGAGTTACAGTACACGGCTTAGTTGGCAGGAAAACACATTTTAAATATATATTTGCATAGGCATTATAATATGTATTTAAAAACATAATTCGTGAATAATAATACCACTGAAATAGAGTGTCGAAAGTCCGAAATTAAGTTGCGTTTTTTGAATACTAAAGTCTCGTCATTAAAAGCGCCCTCAACGCCAATATTGTAATAACTTTTGTTTTTTGCAATTGCAAGAAACTCAATGCTGTTATGACGGATTCCTCTATTTGTATTTGAAACTTACGGTGAATTCAAAAAGATATTAAACAAAGTGAACAACCACCGTGGTACTGTGAGACGAAATTTTAGTGTACAAAGCATACGCAGCTTTCAGAAAATATTGGGTCAAAGGTCAGCAGGATGTACTTACCAGGTATATGTCCAGTATACTGAGGCACCAGTCCAGAACTGATTGGGTATATCAGCTTAGAGTCGTGGACTTTTGATGCGTCACGCTGCAGGGTCACTGGCTTGTAACGATTTTTCAACACATTACCATGTTCCGTGGTGAACTCGTTTAGTGCATTGTGCGTAAGCTTAGGATATCCCACTCCTAACAGACCTCTCGCTTTGGGCACAAAGCCAGTGTATCCTGCAATCAAGAAATGTAGTTTGAAATACTAGGTGTGGACATTAAATTGATGACATTCTTGTCATTTATCTTTCCATACATCTCAATGATACGATCTAAAGCAATTAAAATATGAATTGAACAATCAGGGGTTGAGCTTTAGAATATATGTAATAACATGATGGTAGAGCATAGACTCTATAGTATATATAGTCCAGTGCTGACATAATGGCTGTAACAAAAAAGCTTATACCTTTGATTCTAACATAGATTGAAAAACATTGGCTCTAAAATTAGATTTTTAGAAGTCAATATAATGTGTAAACGTTGGTAAAATAGCAATTTATACTTCCTTCCCTAAAACAATAAAATATACAACATCCGGTTTATGGACAGGGATAACTCTCTACTCGCAGTTTTGAATAAAATTATATAATTGTTTTAATGTTTGTAATATTGCTCCTAGACTAATTCAATTTTTGATTTTCTCATGAGAAAATTTTGTTCATCAATGTTCTCCGACATCGAGGTTATTTTGTTCTTGACTGAGCTGCTTGAACAGTTATTTCTCACGCACGCATATCCCATAATGTAATGCGCCAATTAGGGACGGACTGGGGACAAAAACCGGCCCTGGACTTCCCCGCCAATAGACCTACCAAAAACGGGGGATGGCAATAGCGCTATAGTGGTATATTGTCTGTCATAACGGTCCCCACACAAATGAACTATTTATGATTGTTTATTCACGAACTCAAGAACACTATTACATGTATTTACGAACGACTAAACATAACTTGTATCTTCGAAACACAAATGAACATCTAGCCTTTTATACAGCCATATTACAGTCACTTCTACGCTTGAATTTTAAAGAGTGAACACATCTATACCACTGTATATACAAAATACAATGTAATTACACTGAGTAGTCATACTGAGGCCCGACGGCCATTCTGGACTTTTCCAGAAGCACACATCAGTCCGCCCCTGGCGCCAGTGGCGTCATTGTAAGTGTATGCCCCTGGTCAACGTTCATGTTATACACCGTACAGACGTGAAAGTTGCGACACCAACGCATCGAACAAGCGTACAAGTTACGATGGTACAGACGTACAAGTTACGATGGAAAATCAAAATGTACAAAATCACCGTCGCACTCACATTCCTACCTGACATGAAGCATTTCTTGGAGTCTTCGTTTTTCATCAAGTACGGTGAGGTTGAGTGCTGGTCGGAGTACAGACTACAATACGGTTTGGCAGTCTTGGCAGTTGGTTTCATAGGCGATGGGTAGCGGGTTGTTATCAACTAGAACAGTAAAACGTATAATTATGGTGTTATTACGACGCCGAATTTATTTTCCAGAAATCAAATCCAGACCAGCCTATATAGGGAGCGGATTCCTGGTAAAAGTTACCATACGTATCCGTCCAATTTATAGCCCTAAACATCATGATGTTTATTGATTCTAAATGTTACCCCGGCATCTACCCTTGTAATGATTACGCGTTTTTCTCAGGATTGTCCTTTTTAGCTGAATTCCTCCAAACACAACTAAAACTAAAAATGCAATCACCTGAGACCAATACAATCTAGTCTGTAAGGAATCACTCCCGACTACCACGTGACCAGTATAATTGAT